ACTTCAAAGTATAGCTTCAATTCTCCCAGAGACATATGACACTTTTGGAACACTGCACTTTTTTTTTATATTGCTCTCAGGATGCTACTTGCAGTTCTAGTGACTGTTGCATCTAGTGAAAGAAGTTATTCAAATTTGAAATGAATTAAAACCTGTCTAGTGATCTAGGGTGATGCTGCTGTCTCAACATGTCACTCGAGTGTGCATACGTAGGATTTTATATTTAATAAAGCATTCAGATTCCAGCTAAAAAAATTTAAACCTTAACGCTAGCTCTACAGTCGTTCATACAAAATGGCATAAATTATGCTAGTTAGCACTTACTACAAATAGCATGAAATAATGAGGTGAAACAAAACATGCTTTTATGCTTCAGGGCTTCCATGTTAGAGTATTTTTATCACATCCTTAAGCCATTTCACAATTTAACCACATGTAATTCACTCAAGATTAAATGATGCATCATCTGCTAGTTATAGCTTAGATGGTACAGCATTAAATGCCTTGGAGTTACTGAAACTTGATGAACTCCACAGTTGGAACCATTGTCACAGAACTGTATCAGTACTTTATCCAGAGAATAGAACCATATTCTGGACAGTAGTTAAGCATAAATGTGGTTCCCATGAAAGCTTTGCTGTGCATGCTGACAAACTGTGACACTCACACAGCAAAGCATACTTCAGAAGGGCAGCATGTTTTGATTAATAAGTTTGTTGAGGGACTATTTGTGGTTTCAAGTTATAATACTCAAACGTTAGAGACATCATATATCTGACAAAAGGTGTGTTAAAAGGCTTGAGATGATAATTAGCTTTAACTAAGTTGCAGAAGTAAGAAATCTGCAGTGATATGCCAGAGACGTTTCATCTGTCTACATTGTAGAAAACCACAGTAGCAGATTCCACCCCACATATGTTGTACACTTACTTGGTTCATTCTGAATGGTTGTCAGCTGAGCAGCAGCAATAAATTAAACCTGTGACTTCAGTTTTGCCAATAAGAGAGAAGACTTGCTTGTTATAACTCTGGAAAACTCAGTAAATGGTAGAATATGTGTCTTTTTCCTGTACTTGCAAGGTGCTCATGTATCCATCAGATATATTTATCAGTCAGTAACATGCTAAAGAAAGGTGATAGGCTGTAAATGCTCTTAGGCCCACTAGGTTATCTATCAAGCCCTAGATCAGATCTGGGATAGAAGAGCTATTTGTCTATTCCTTCAGGTGAGATAGTTAATACAATGTCTACAAGTCTGAGAATGGTATATACCTGTGACAGTAAATGGATGGAAGATAGATTTCTAGTTAATACAAGAGCAGCTATAATTCTACTTAATTTCACAATGTTTCAAACATTACCAGGTAAACCACCACTCAGACTAGTAAATGCAAGTTTTTCCTTGCAAATCGTGATAGCTAGGCTTGTAATTAATAGAGAGGCTCTTCTCCGCATCTGTATTTGTGCCATCACAAAAAGTATGAGAGTTGTGATTGACTCAGTTACTGACATTATAAGCTTTGATGTCATACAAAAGTTTTTACTAGTGTAGCTTGTGTACTAGTTAAACTACAGCTCTGTGGTGAAATCATAAAATACTGACCAAGAACAATTAACCTCAAGAGCCTATGTAGATATATAGTTAATGATGTTCCACTTTTGTCTCAAAAAGTGATGTTTTGCTAACACAATCTAAAATTGCACCACCAGCTAATGCTGAGATTGTAATGGTGCCTAAGATGTACTGTTTTGTATTGATAAAAAAAATAATGCACCTGTTTGAACAGTTGCCTGTTTAAGAGCAAGATATACTCCTGTTATGGTTTGTAATTATCATAAAAACACAACAGATATAAAATTAAAATTACCACTGGAATGGTCATGAAGGAGAAGGTGTAGGTAGTTCATGGATGTCAGAACATCTGCAGCTACTAAGTGGATATTGTGCAGGCAATATGGTATTATACCAGCAGAAAAAACTTGTAAAGTTACTGATAGAACAAAACCAGTCTAATTTCTGTAATCATGTCCAATCAGATGTAAAGAAAGGCTTAACTCACTAATCCTTGCTTCCAGCTCCAGGTAGGTCAAACTAGAAGATAAAATAAGACCCAAGTCTGCTTTTAGAATTCAAGAAAATTAGTGTGAGATTCAAATTATAGTTCCTCTTTGGCCAAAATTTCTACAGTGGCAGCACATTTTTCAGCATTATATAAGGTTGAATCCTATTTTAGATGGGCTTGAGGACTATGCAAATCATTTCAGTTATTAGAATGTGACAGTGGAATTGGAGCTGTGCTATTACAAGTACAGGAGGCAGAAGAACTTTTTAGAATGTAAATGAGCTGAATGCTAACATCTGCCAAACAGTGTTCTTGTATAACAACAAAACAATTGCTTATATTTACATTTGTAGTGTTCATCAAGCTCTTTTGTCATTGCTTGTATGGTGTTTACTGCGACATTGAAGTGACTGATGAATTTAGAGAATTGGAAGGTATCATTGTATGTTTGATCACAAAGTTCCAGGAGTACAACATTATTTTACAACACTGTCCAAGCCAACAGTTTAGAAATGCAGGTGGGATTTCTTGTTGGCATATGAGAGATTGTTTGTTTGTAGAGTGTCCAGAATCTGTACAAAATGAAGCCACAAAATTTCAAGTCTTGGTTATTTCATAATTATTGTGTTTAAAGGAACTAACTTGTATGGTATTATATACTTGAAAGATGTATGTTTTTGCATGATACTGTTTATGTTTTAAACGTTTTACTGTTAAGATTAATTCATAAAATACTAATTTCCATGTAAAAAGCCAGGTCAAAAAATGAGATATGGGGGGGCACATTTGGAGGAAGTGGGTTTAATTTCCTCATGAGACACTACTGGTGATAAGTGTGCCATTTTTGTTGATAAATGACTGTTGTGGGTCTATGGAGAGATTGAGACAAATAAAGGCAACTTTAGAAGTTAAACCCCGATGTTGTGCAAAGGTCCACGTAACTTACAAGCATGAAATTTGAGCTTTGAAATGTCTGGGTGTAGAATGTTGGATTGAGGTTGCTTCAACAAAGATGGCCAAGAAAGAAATGGTGGACACTCTTGAAGACACTGAAGAAGAGGAAACCATGATTGGGCCAACCAATATGGGGCTACCAAAAGCACTCGACAAGGAGAGGATCGAACTATAGCCACAACTCTGGGTAACAGATGAATCAGGGGAAGGCATATAGATGCAAACCTGCCCAATCCTGACTGAATGCATTTATCATCAAAGCCTGAGGATGAGGAACTGGGGACCAAAATGCCCATAGTTGAGAGTTCCAATGAGTGGCGATTGAGTCAATCATCATGGTCTTGAACTGAGGGCAAATCACTGGAAAACCTTGCAAAAAAGCATCCATTTGGTCAGGAAAATTTGGTTGGGCTGAGACAGATGATCTACTATTAAATTCATCACCCTTAGAACATGGCAAGTCAGAAGACCGATAAGATGAGAGTAAGCCCAGTAGAGAATATCCAAAGTTCAGAAACAAAGGTCCAGAGAATGTGTGCCCCCTTGACAGGAAGCATAAGATACCACCATGGAATTGTTGGAATGAATCATGATGATTTTTCCCTTCAATAAAGGTCAACCACTGGTGCACATTGGACAGTAAGGAGCTCTAAAATGTTGATGTGGAAGGAAGATTCATTATCCATCCAGAGACCCTGGAATTCTTGACCATTGATATATGCCCCCTATCCCTGAAGTGAGGCATCTGTGAAAAGATGAACCTTGGGATGAGGGGGCAGTAGGGGAACACCAATTGTAGTGTTGTTCTGATCCAACCACCACTCGAGATTTAGGATGTTGCTCCTGAGTAAGAAGCCTGGATGATCCAGAGGATCAAAGATCATGATCCATTGGTTGTGCAGCAACCACTGAAAGGATCACATATATGCTCATCCCAAAAGAATGAGATATTCAAGGGATGCCCACATCCCCAAAAGAGAGAGAACCATTCACACAGTAGAAGAAGGAGACATGAGTAAAAGCCTGACCACCCATTCCATAGCCTGGAGCCTGATGGGAGTTGGTTGAGCCTGACTTAAATATGTGTTGAAAAAGACACCCAGATGGACAGTGTATTGAGCTGGAAAGAGAATGTATTTATCGGTTCTAATAAGAAAGTTAGCCTTGGTGGCTTCTGAAAGAAGAATCTAGGTGTGTTGTTCCACCAACTGACGAGTTGGTGCCAGAAGTAACCAGTTGTCTATATAACGATGTGTGCACAGGCCCAAAGAATGAAGGTGATGAGAAAAAGTTTGTACGACACTGCAGAAGAGATATGGTGCAGATGCTAAACCAAAGGGTAGAGCCCTGAACTGCAGAACCTGACCCTTGTGAATGAAACGTAGAAATTGGTGGGATGAAGTTGCTATGGAAATGTGGATATATGCATTGGCAACATCGAAATTGGTCATTCACAGACCTGGTGAAAAATGCCAATGCAGATTGAGAAAGGACTCCTTCAGAACCTGGGAGAATCCAAGAACTGGTTGAAACAAGAAATATTGATGATTGGACACCAATCTCCTGTCTTTTTAGACACAACAAATAAATGGGAATAAAATCCCAGAAGAATAGAATCGACTCTTTCAACTTCCCCTTGACCAACAACTCCCTTATAGCCTTGGAATGAAGATTCCCACTCTGCAGACCTGTTGGAGGCAGAAATGCCACAGGTTGGGAGGATAATGGAGGTGGAGATGTGAACTGACAGACAACCCTGATGCTAGAACCTAGAGTACCCATGGATCTGTGGTGGAGTAATCCCAGATATCCAAAAATGATGTAACTGTGCTCCCACAGATCCCACCAGCATTGTGTAGTCACCAATGCCATTGGTGTCAGTTTACCAGAGTGGAGGAGCCTCTAGGATAAGGATGAAATCTATTGTGAGTACCAATAGATCAAGGAAGTGAAGTCAAGGGTCGGGATACACGACGAGCAGACATGTCCAAACTTCCAGCAGGAGCTGAACAAAGCCAAGAGGCCAACAATGACAAGGAAGAATGCAAACGGGCAACATCAATCTTTGATTCCAATGCCTCTGGGACACCCGCAAACATCAAGGGGAGGAGAAAAGGAGCCTCATGGAGGGTGGCAGCAGGTAGATGAACTACATCCAACAAGGCATCTCTACCCAATAAGTCCCAACAACATACAAGTCAGGAAACCACAGAGAGAGGAGAACCCGACAATCTTACCATTGTAGAAGTAAGCAAAGGACCCAATTCGTCCTCAAATTGATGAAGGGAATGTGTGGCCAGATGAATCCGAGAAAATTGTGATATGTTCAAAGTGATCACAGACTCCAGTCTGGAACCCCACATGTCCAAAAGGGGATCCAGTGTTTGAGAAACTAAATATACGTCCTCCTTGCAGTGATAAGCCAAAGCATGTTGTTTCAACAAATGTTGGGGACAAGGAATAGCTATCCTGTCTTGTAACTGAGTGGTAAACCTCCCAGCATGAACAGCAAATTAAGTGAAGGAGGAAAACTATGTAGTCACTCTCAGACCTTTCCACCATCAAGGAAGAAGTAGATTTGAAGGAAATTGGAGAAAGCTCTAAAACCTCACAAACCCAATTTACTAACTGAAGAAAGAAAGGAAGCAGGAAGTGGCTGATCCAAATTGGCCTCGTGAAAAGCTGACCTAATAAATGAAAGCACCGGAAAAAGTGAGTCCAAATCCTCCCCAGAATGTCCTGGGTCATTGTCAAAAGCAGCCTCAGAACCCCCAGGAGAGACACCCCCGGTCCGAATATATGTCTTCATCTCACAACAAGTCAGATCACAGGCAGCCTCAACTGAGAGTCGCCCCCCCCCCCCCCAACTACTGAGAGGGTCTGGTTAGCCTCCAAGCTGGAAACAGTAATCTGGGAATTCATGCCCCAAAACAGCGTGTCAAAAATTTTTTTTCTAGATATAGTAAGATTTGTATGGAATTCAACAAGGCGACACTAAAATTGCAACCAAGGATGTTGACAATCGCAGAACTTCATTAGAGAAACCTGTGTCTAAACACTTTGTCGAGAAAAAGAGATTACATTATCTGAAGAGGTGCTTATATACAGTACCAGGATAGCGGGCACATTGACATAGGTAGAGAGTATCATGAGACAAATATTTCCACAGGCAATTAAGTGGGGTACAATAGACTAGAGGAAATGAGAAAAAATCAGACCAATGCTTAGATGGGCAAAGAAGAAACCATGGAGGTCAGGTAATAGCTATAAGTGTCAGCAGAGGTAAGTATTATTGGAAATACACTTCTAATTTTGTAAAATGTTAACTTTTAGTTTCTAGAAGTTTTCATGTTCAATTAGTGTCTATTATGAGATGATACTCTGTGGCTTCAAGAAAGATCCCTCTTTAGACAAACTCATAGGTTTCCCTTGAAAATGTCAAAGTCCAACTAAAACTGTGTACATTTTCATATTTTTATCCTGTCCTAACCAGTATGAACATTATATCTCTTGTGAGGTAGAAAGTAACTCAAACATAATATTCATATTTTAAAAGTGACAATAAATATTTACTTTTACACCACATGGTCTTGCCATCTCTCACAGCTCAAAACTGACATTTTGTGATTCATTCATTGAGTATTTTGCATGCCAATTATTATTGTTGAGTAAATTTATTAACTGATAAAAACATGAAATATTCCATATGTTAACTACACAAGTTCTGATACTAAAACAGGTATGTATTCAATTGCATAATAGTACAAATTTAAATCTGACTTTTGCATTACCTACTTGAAAATAGCAGAACTATTGTGGTGTTTGGAAATGAGTGTTGTGTTGAATTATAGTTTACTAATGAAAATTTATTATTATAGTATGCATAGATATTATAATAAATGTAGAAATGAGAACATTTTCATATTAAGTTTTGTTTTAAAATTACATGTATGCCTTGTTATAAATATATGATTTATCATATATTTTTTATTCATTTTCATTTTTAGTATCTAAAAATGTTGATTTCATTTTGCCTACATTTTTCTTAATAAAGGTCTATCTTTTTCATGGTCATATTTTTATTCAGAATTTTAAATGTAAACTAATGTCTAAAAGTATTTAAAATATTGAATGTTTAAGGATAAGTACAACTCCTTCAAACAGGTTGTCAGGAGCTCTGATTTCATAATGTTTGATGATAATGCAGATGTACAACTAAAACTAATGCTTTTATTTTCTTTAGTGATACATTTCAAAGGAAACCAGATTCTTTCCATTGAGTTTAATGCTACAAAAAATCATTCAGGAAATTACACATGTTCACACCTTGCTGGAGATTCTGTGTTGGTGCAGGTGCTTGTTACAGGTAATTATAACTTATCTGATGATATCTATTTAAAATTTTTCACTATATAAACAACTTCAAAAACCACTGTAGTATATGTGGAAAAAAAAATCCTTGGAATATATTCATGTTCAAATTTTTAATTAAACAAGTAAAATTATTTTAACTATAATTGAAATAGTGGTGTAATTGAAAGTAAGCTGTATTACCCACTTCTCCTTAACCTTCCTATTATGCTTAGAACTTAAATACATCTGTTATGTTTTCGTCATATTCTGATGTAATAGTAAACAAATTGAAACAGCCTTGAATTGAAAAACTATTTTTTTTGCAGGGCTTTTACTCTTTCATGTTAAATGTTAGAAATTAATGCAAACTCTCGTTATACTGAACAAAAAAAATATATTTAAATGCATCATAACATTAAGGAAACCAGTGTTGGGTCAAACAAAACATAAAAGATAGTTAATGATTTGGACTCCAGTACCATTTCACTACCCATCTGCACCTCAGTATCAAAGAGATTGATTTACCTACTACTTTTTGACCACTACAACACTGATTAGAAACATCTTTCTTTTTCTCTCTCTCAACAAAGGTGGTCCTAAAGAGCAAAAAAACAGCATTTGGGTACTTTCCTAAAAAAGAAAATAAGAAGATTGATAATGCTTACACCTGTGATTTTCATGTATGTCTTAATGTATTTTGCTTTCCATAACAAAATATGTCTTGTTTATCTTATTCATAAGGCTGTTAAAAAGTAAATCCAACATATTACAATGTCATATAAAATTGTAGATCATTTATGAATATATTTCTAATTTAAATGCAATATACTGGCCAAAAACAAAGAACTTCACACACATAATACTTGTAAATAAAACTATGATATGAAATAGAAAATGGGAACATTAAAGCATATGCCCCAGTATGAAAGTTACATGATGGAGTAGGACCTACATATAGGTAAAGATACACAATATGCTGCTGCAGTTTCTATTGACAAGTTTTACATGGGAATGAAATTATAATGTTTGTTACAAGTAGTTTCATATCATGCTTTAATAGTCATGATCAGTTGGGAACTGGTCTTAAGAATGCCAGGAAAATCCAAAAGAAATACCAATTTTATGGCTTCAGAAATAATATTTCAGACTGAAACTGTCTTGCAAAATTCAGTGATTAAAAGTTCCAAAAAATATATTGATCCATGAAAGTACTGAGAGTTTTGTACTGCAGAAACTGTCAAATATGAAATACAATTAAAAAATAAACCTTGAAATTCCACAGAAAACTGTGAAGACCTTTTTAGATCCACCTCAAGTTTTAATGATGCCAAGTATTTAGTATAGGTACACCTCTAGATTATGCAAGCTTGATACAAGTAAACGTTGAAATTCAACATAAGTCAACAAAAGCAACCTCTAAATATGAAGCAATTTAATTCTAGTTAGTGTAATTCTACTAAAAATGTAAAATCATTCATTTTTTACATATATAAAATCTGCTGAAAGATTTATCAATATGAAATATGTTTACACAATTAGAGTTTTCAAATTTAGCACAAAATATACAAATCATTTTCAAGAAAAGAAGCAATTTAGATGGACTGTATAGTATTTAAAATGAGCCCAAAGCATTTTAGAAAATTCATCAAAGGGATTTTTCATTCATAGTAAATAATTAAGAACTAAAGCTGACACATTTGTCTAACATGGGAAATCAGCCAAAATACGATATTCATTGTAGAAAATGTACAACACATTATTACCCAAAATCAATGTTAATTCACCACGATATTAGAAAGATGCCTCTGTTTATTGCTACAGTTAGATAAGGAAGAGAACAAAAAATGCTGAGCAGTATGAACATGCTCATACTGTGTGTGTATGTGTTTATGTATGAAAATAAAATTTAGTTTAGCAAGTTCAAATCAGAAAGAAATATAGAAAAAGGCAATTTACTTAAATTAACTTATTCATATGTATAATTTTTCGTAGTTAGACATCTTGACCTTTGGTTCAAGATCATTAACATTGAGAAATAGTTTGCTTCTAAGATGGTGTTAGCACTGTCAATTTTCTTTAGCAGTGTAAATATGTAAAAGGTAAATTTTCAGGTAACAAATTACAAATATCTAAATTCATGACCTGTGAGAAAAGGGCCAAAGTGAAAACATACAGTAATAATCATGAAAATAGTATAATCTGTACTATTTATCCTAGAAAGGAATTCTGCAGAAATACCTTGAAGTAATTAAGAACCAAGAGAATGGCAGATTGCTGCACTGCAGAAACAAATAAGATTAGTAATATTTCATAATTAGAGCCATCAATAGTGCCCTTTGATATTAAAAGAGTCCAGTGATGAAAAAGGGAATGCAAAAATGACAAGATAAAGGTCAGAACAGAGAAATTTCATTAGTAAAGGGCCTAAGCAAAAAATTAGGAAAGAGAGCCACATCTTAGCAGACTGTAGAAAGCCACATCAGAACTGACATTGATGAGGACACTGACCAAAAAGCTGATTGTGATTCAATCCAGTCTCAACAACTTCACAAACAAACTGAAGACTAAACTCAGAAAGTGAGTAGGTTGCAAATCTAAAGGAATGTAACTTCTTGATTCTAATACCTTGGTTCAAGCTGGTCTTTACCACTTCTAAGGTCTTATACACCAGTTACAGGTGATTCTTATCTGACAAACTGGCTAGAGTAGTAGCACTAGAATCCAGGTCTACCTGAGACCTGGCAGTAAGAACAACACTTCTCTTATTTGTCATGGACGCCCAGTGGTAGTGCCAATTTCAGCAGAAGAAATACCAATAGAAATCTTAACATCTTCCATTGGTTAGATATTTTTTTATTAATTCACTGATGTTTTTCCATTATTACTGCCACTTGAGAAATTCATCAGGCTGTGATGATCACTGCATTAAAACATTCCCTAGTGAAATAGCAATGCCCTTAAGAATGAGTCAAAGGCTATCCTACTGATCCTCTTGAACCATGAGATGTGATTATCACTGTATTCCCTGGTTAAGTTATAATATAACTAGTTTGGGAAGGGAGGTTGATAAATTTTACAGAAATTTGGCTTTATGACTCGGGACTATCCTAGAAGAGTATGATTGTACTGATTAACCATAAGAAAGTACTAAAATGAGTATATTTTAATTAGTATTCTCCAAAGGAACAGCTTGCTAGAGAAAGCAACAAATATAATTTTGATTAGCATTAATGGGTTGATGGTATAATAGTGTTTAGAGCATCTTTTAGAAATAGCATATTAAAATGAAATATATAAGACCATTATATATATATATACTACTCATAATAATAAGGTAATTCTTGATGTTTCCCTTATTTTGCTTATCTTATTCTCCAGTCACAATCATTCTTGCAGTCTTCACGAAATGGCCTTTGGGGTCTTCCCGAGTGTTTAGAGTCCAGGGTTAATGTGGTGTAGTTACATTCTTCTTTGTCCTCCATTGCCTCTCGTTTGTCTCGCCCTCCTGATTTTGCTCAATCGTTGCTGATTTGGATTCCCTGCGCACCTTCTTCATCTCCCCATCCTTTATCCTACTTCAGTTATTCCCTTACTTATGCTTGTTCTTCCCATTCCTACCAGAGGTGGCATTATCAGTGGTGGGATGTCTTTTCAAAGGCAGGTGGGGACCAGGTAATAACAGTTTGTTACCATCTGGCAACTCTTTACGATAGATCAATGGGTATTATGAGGTCTGTAGGAGGGTTTATGCCTTCAGTTCTGGTCCCCTCCACCCCTATCTTATATCCAAGTTTCCTTTCCTCCTCCTCAAGATCGTGCTTCATCCAGTCATTTAGCAGAGTCAGTTCACGATCTTCTTCACAAGGGAGCTACCAAATGGATGGTGGCTGCTCTTCCAGGCTTTTACTACCATCTGTTTATTGTCCCCAAAAAGACGGGCGATTGGAGCCCTATCATCAATCTGTCCCAGCTGATTACTTTTCTAGAAACACCCCGATTCACCATGGAATCCTACTTCTTTCTTCTATGGGTTTCTCTCTGGGTCTTGCATTAAAGGTCAGAACAGAGAAATTTCATTAGTAAAGGGCCTAAGCAAAAAATTAGGAAAGAGAGCCACATCTTAGCAGACTGTAGAAAGCCACATCAGAACTGACATTGATGAGGACACTGACCAAAAAGCTGATTGTGATTCAATCCAGTTGTCTCATCAAATAAGGGGGAACACTCGAGCTCCTGTACTGGGCCCACAACTGTAACATAACTATTTTGGCATGGGGGGGGGGGGTCGTTTCAGTTCTGAGCACTGCCGTTTAGTATTGCCTCAGCTCCTTATGTGTTCTGTCATGTTGTCCATTCTTTTGCATGTCATCTCCAGTCGTTGGGTCTTTGGAGTCATCATTACATGCCTCTCTATATGCTCCTGCATGCCTCTTTCCAGGACCAATTTGTCACTCACACCCACTTCTTCTTTGGGAGTCTGCTCGGGTGGGATTTCTAATCAAAGTGAAGAAGTTCTTTTTAATCCCCACACGATACCTCATTCATTTAGGGATCCTCTTCAATTGCCATCTCAGTAAGGTCCAGCCTTCAGCTCCTGGATATGGAGCAGACAGTCTCTTACATTCTATCTTCTCCTTCTCTTACTGTTTGAAAGGTTCTCTTTTTTGGGGGATGTGGGCCTCTATGGAAGCTCTCATTCCCTTGGGTTGAGTGTACATGCATTCCCTTCCCTTCAGTGGATGCTTCTCAACCAGTGGAACTTCTCCCATGATCCCTTATCACCCTTCCCCAACATTGTTTGGTGGCTCAACAGGGCTTTTACTACAGTGGGGGTTCCTCTTCCTCATCCTGACTCTCATCTGTTCACCAATGCTTCATCAGTGGGTTGGGAGCTTCCTTCAACCTCGAGAAATTTTGGGGCAGTGGTCTATCGAGGAATCTACTTGTCATGGAACTTTTGGTGGTTTTTCATGTTCTCAATCATTTCTTCTTGTTCTTGTGGCAGCGGGTCAT